CAAAACCCTACTGACTCTGCTAGCCTCTGTCACTCTTTTATGATACAAATTCAATAATAAGGCCCACTTATTTAACAAGGATACTCAAATCTTTAATTCAAATTTAGATTATTTGAAGAAAAAAAACCCCAAAAAAACAACAACATTAAAGGAACTCCACTGAGGTCTAACTAGCCAGAATAATAAAATTTGAAATCTTTCATCAATAGACTGGTGCACTTAATAATGTAAATATACTTTTTATGCTTTTTCTCTGCCTCATTGAGTGAAAAGCGTTGCAACACTTTTTTATTTTGGAGTCAATTTGCACAATAAAAATGAAAATACCATGTTAGCGGAGTGAAGAAATGATCTGAAATTTTGCACACAAGGTATTGGTGCAGATCTTCATCACAGTTATACAAAAATCATGAAAAAATATTTTCGGTTCCTCCATGTCAAAAAACCTCAGTGAAGTCCCTTTAAAGTATTCACCTTAAAGGTAAAACTATTGTCAGGTACCCACGGTTAATTAACAAGTAACATAACATAACTGATAAATGTTATTGAAACGGCGTGGTTATCCGACGTTGATGAGGTGAAACATGAGCCCTACATGCTGTGTTTACCCTCGTCTATTAACAATTCTAAGCGAAAAAAAGGGGCAAAACTAAAAAATTATTGATTTTAGAATTGTGCCCCTTGTCTAACAACAGAACCTTGTCATTATCAGGTAAGCAAGTATTCCATATTTTAGTTGATGACTTTTAAAATGCTTGCATAATGAGCTCCATTGAAATTGTTTTGCACGTTGACAATGACGGTGGTGCAGAGATCTGAAAGTTCCACTTTTTCTTTGAAACAGGCAAGCTAAAAATGACCATATATAACAACAAGAGCTGTCATAAAGACAGCATGCTCACCTTTTAACACTATTCTAAAGTAACATAAAAGCTAATTGAATTCTCTTACGGGTCTTAAACAATGATTAAAAACAAATACACAAATGTGTGAAGATCTGTGAGTACAATATCTGGTTTATGAGAAATAAAATTACACACAATATCTCAACCAACTGTTAGCTCAACAAAAACACTTCTACCAAAACAAGTAAGGACTTATTCTTTTATTCTTCATTCAACTTTTTTTTTTCAATTATATATTACAGGAAGTTGACATCATCATACACACAACTCTTTAAGTCTTCAAGAAAAAGAATGCATTTAGGTTACAACTGAGGGACTGGATTTTTCTATTTATAGGATCTTACACGAGTTGTCAAGCTTTGTGAATAGCAAGTCTAAGAAAGTGTTATGAAACAAGTGTGAGACAGCTCAAACATTGAATCTAATGGTCATTTGTCTCTCACCATTGATTCAGAAACCATGTGGGATTTATAGTCAGTTACTTATTGAGAAATTGGTAATTCACTGGTTAGTTATCCAGAAAGCTGGTTAGGTGGACCGACAAGTGAGATTATGACCAAACAATTACATATGTTGAAACCGGTTTAAAAACAAGACCAGTTTGTGGTGAGCTTTATAAAATTTCCGGTACATGTTTATTATCACTTTAATTCCCACATAAAATGATATCAAATGTAAGAATTGTATTACATGTATTTTTTTTTCATGATATCATAAAGTTAATTGTTCATTTGCTTGTATTTTTACACCGATTTTAACACAATTTTGGACATAGCCAGGTGGTCAGCCCACAAAAACATCTTTTCTGGGTAGCTAACTAGTCATTACCAATTTCTTCACCAGTGACAGAATAATTATGGCACATGCTTTTTGATTCTGTGTTTAGACAAACTTTAATGACTATAGGAGTCAGTGTATAAGATGAATTTCATGGAAATTTTTTTCGCCTTTTCCGAGCAATATTTCTGGAATACAAAGCCAATACTTTATTGATCTAAGTGTACAGACATATAAAAGTTGAAAAATTTGGCACTTCATTTTTTTACAAATAAATAAATGACATCACCCATTGACTATTCGTAATGAGCATTATAATTAATTCAATTTCCAAATCCCAAGAGCCGTAATTGTCGTAAAGTTCATATCTAATCCATTACTTCCAATAGTTTACGGTTTTAACAAGAGCACCGCTAGGCGGGGCATTATATGCCCGAAAGTACTTTAGCTGTAGGTTGATTAATGCTTGAATTATTGAGCGAAAACTGATTCCAGTTTAAAGGTGATAGTAACCTTGATCTTTGACCTTGTGACCCCAAAATCAATAGGGGTCTTCTACCCAATATGAACCATCATCCTATGAAGTTTGAATACTGTGGACCAAATGGAACTTAAGTTATGCTCCGGAAACCATTTTCAGTTTTAGGGTAATAGTGACCTTGACCTTTGACTTTGTGACCCCAAAATCAATAGGGGTCTTCTACCCAATATGGACAATCATCCTATAAAGTTTGAAAACTATGGGCCAAATGGAACTTAAGTTATGCTCCGGAAACCATTTTCAGTTTTAAGGTAATAGTGACCTTGACCTTTGACCTTGTGACCCCAAAATCAATAGGGGTCTTCTACCCAATATGGACAATCATCCTATGAAGTTTGAAAACTGTGGGCAAAATGGAACTTGAGTTATGCTCCAGAAACCATTTTCAGTTTTACAGTAATAGTGACCTTGACCTTTGACTTTGTGACCCCAAAATCAATAGGGGTCTTCTACCCAATATGGGCAATCATCCTATAAAGTTTGAAAACTGTGGGCAAAATGGAACTTAAGTTATGCTCCAAAAACCATTTTCAGTTTTACGGTAATAGTGACCTTGACCTTTGACCTTGTGACCCCAAAATCAATAGGGGTCTTCTAACCAATATGGGCAATCATCCTATGAAGTTTAAAAACTGTGGGCCAAATGGAAATAAAGTTATGCTCCGGAAACCATTTTCAGTTTTACGGTTATAGTGCCCTTGACCTTTGACCTTGTGACCCCAAAATCGATAGGGGTCTTCTTCCTAATATGGGCAATCATCCTATGAAGTTTGAATACTGTGGGCCAAATAGAACTTAAGTTATGCTCCGGAAACCAAATTGCTAACAGACGGACGGACGCCAGGGGGTATAACATAATATGTCCGAAATTCTTTCGGGCATATAAAAAGGGTATGCTGTAGGTCAAATCTGCACTACCTATTTTAATGATGAATCTAATTTGCTTACTAAGGCCATCTATTTAATCAAGAAAATGATTGTAATAAATGCATATTCTTTAGAATTTCTGCGTTATCATTCTTTGAAACTATATAAATATAGCCCTTCAAAAAAAACCAGGAAATTATTATATCAAACCAGTCAAAGTTCACCACATTCTGATTCACAACAATTTATGAAACACAAGCACACACGAACACACACACACACACTACTAATGAAGTAAATGAAATTGAGATCAAATTGAAAACATGATTTGTTAAAACGGTACAACAATAGATCTTATCTAGAATGCTGCAAATGTGGGTTTTTCCCTTCTCATCCCGGGGTACAAACAAACTTTTAACATTACAGCTTCACAGTGCACTAGTGTTCACAAATAGAGTGATCTTTTATTTTTTTCATTTTTTATTGATATATTTACCAAATTGTAACTATAAAAGTTTGCTTGTATGGGAGAATATCTCCTTTTAAAGTTAAAATGGCTATTTTAAAGAATAATGGATTATTTGGAATAGGAAAAGCATGCTCAGACCAAGGTCTGTGAATTAAAGCAAGAAAACCCCAAGCTGGATGGTATAAAAGTATGTGAATTACAGAACACTGTAGATTGGTTACTTTTGCCCTTTATTCTTTATAAATTATTCCTAGCTTTTTCTGTTTTTTTTATTTATTTTTTGTTTGTTTTTTTGTTGTTTTTTTTATTTATTTATTTATTTATTTTTTTTTGGGGGGAGGGGGGGGGGTCTTTCATAGGGGGAGGGGGTATTTTAAATTCAAGCTAGACTAACCTGCTTCAATACCCATAACTGACTTATGTTATATACTAATTTAAATTTAATTATTCAATAGATTTATGTTCAAAATCAAAGAAATTCTTCCAGAATGTTTTGTGATAGATTTAAAAAAAAAGAGTGGATAACTTTGAGGCAGATAATAATAATAAGAGGGAAAGATTTCAAAAAAATATCAATGTTTCAAGTTCCTTTGTGAGAAAAAATTTTAATTAAGTCTATGGATGTTTTCTACAACATAACATTAAAATTCTATGTTAAACAAGAGCTGTCGGTAGGACAGCAAAGCTCGACTATTCTTAGTGCTTGATAGTAAAAAAAATGCTTGATACAGTTATCTCCTCCTGTTTACAGGTTGGGGTCATGATGGTGAACAAGTGTGCAAAGTTTCAAAGCCATATGTCAATGGACTTTGAAAATATTTGAACTATTACAAAAACTTTAACGTAAATTCTAAGTCGAAAAAGGGGCATAATTTTGTCAAAATGCTTGATAGAGTTACCTCCTCCTGTCTACAGGTTGGGGTCATGATGGTAAACAAGTGTGCAAAATTTCAAAGCCATATGTCAATGGACTTTGAAAATATTTGAACTATTACAAAAACTTTAACGTAAATTCTAAGTCAAAAAAGGGGCATAATTCTGTCAAAATGCTTGATAGAGTTACCTCCTCCTGTCTACAGGTTGGGGTCTTGATGGTGAACAAGTGTGCAAAGTTTCAAAGCCATATGTCAATGGACTTTGAAAATATTTGAACTATTACAAAAACTTTAACATAAGTGGTTACGCCGACGCAGACGCCGACACTTATGCCGACGCCGACGCTCGGGTGACTACAATAGCTCTACTTATTCTTATCGAATAGTCGAGCTAAAAATGTCTTTCACAGACTTTTTTTGAGAAATTCAATACAAAACCATTGAGAATAAATAACTTAAGCTCCCAATCTACAGTGATTTAATGATTTTCAGATCAGTGTCAGTAGAAGCTTGTCAAGAATCTATTTATAGCACAAGAGACTGGTTCCCATTTTCCATTTACTCACATTTCTACAGATAACCCTACTTTCAGACTGGCCCATATCCTGTCCCATCAGAGCAGGACAGTTTGACAGTACCTCAACTGGAACAGCCGACTGGGCAGCCTGGTGATACCGTAGATAGCACTTCAAGTCTCTCAGAGTGTTTATGACCTCAGTGTGACCCGGCTCTGCCTCTAAAGCAAGCTGATAACGCCATATTGCTCCCGTGTAATTTTTCTTTGCCCACTCTATGTTTCCAAGAAGAAATTGTGCAGCAGGCTAGAAAATAAATATGAAAAGAATATTATTGAAAACAAGTTAATTTAAAAGCCTTGGTATTGAGAGAAAATAAATTCTATGTGATCTAAAAGCAGACAAGAAATACGTCCATAGGAAACTTGACAGGTTTTTAAGCATAAAGTTTTACTGCAAAGACTGCTTAAGTAACTCTTAAAGAAAGGAACTTCACTGAGGTCAAATAGCCTAAAAACATGAACTCTGAATCTTACAAAGACGTACTGGGGCACTATAAACAGAAAGATAGGCAAATTTAGAAAAATAAAATTAAAGATAATTAAGAAAAGAATTGAAAGCCCGATTTGAGTGAAAAGCATTACACCGCTTTCCAATTTCGGGTTGTTTTTCACAATTATAAAATTTTATATTTATTATGGAGAAACAGAGTGAGTGAATAGTCTGAAATTTTGCTCACAAGTTATTGGCCTAGACCTACATTAAATGGAATATTAATCTTGAAATATTATTTCCAGTCCTGTCATATAAATAAAACCTCAGTCGAGTCCCTTTAATTACCTCATATTTATAGTTTGGATTTGTATATCTGATCAGTTCTAGGGCATCGTCGTACTGGGCCCATCTGTAGAGAACGTTGGCGAGGTTAATATCCGGTACATCAGAGACTTCGTCCGGTGCTGTGTATACCGAACGTCGGAAACATTCTATAGCATGGTAGTTATTACCTATGATTCTCCAGTACAAACCGGCCAAGTTGTAAAATATCCATTTTGGTCCCTCTCTCTGAAACGTTAAAACGTAATTACAATTTGTATAAAGGCTCTAGTTAAAGCAAAATAAAGATGTTAGATCTTACGTTGAAGTCCTCTACAGACAGACAAACAGTTTTGAATTAAAAAAAACAAAAACTGCTCTAGTTAAATCACAATAAAGACATATGATCTTAGGTTAAAGTCCTCTGCAGACAGACAAAACAGTTTTGAATTGAAAACTAAGTATGTCCAATCATCTACAGATAAACATTTGTTTGTTTGTTTTGGGTTTTACGTCACATTGACACATTATAGGTCATATCGCGTTGTTCTCGCTTAACTGGTAGAACCACTGACGTTCCGTAAGCTAGCTGGATAGCTTCCTCACATGAAAGAATCCAAAGTCCCTGTCGGGATTCGAACCCATAGCGGTGAGGGGCAAGTGATTTGAAGTCAACGACCTTAACCACTCGGCCACAGACGCCCCTAGATAAACATTTGTGTCATAAATGGCTAAAGTTATCCTCTATGGATAAACACGTAAAAAATCCGGAGAAAAAGGTGATCCCTCTAAAGCATAAATCACAAGAAAATTACATGAAAATGACAGACTCAGCTTGATTGAGTCCGTACATGAGAGATAATGAAAAAGTGCAACTTCCCTCACGCCCCCTAGCACTGGCTTGAGGGATACGCAACACCTCTACTGTGCAATTTTATTAATAAACTATTTAAATGATTTTAATGGTGTTGAACATCATATGCTTATTACCTTCTTAAGGCCAGACAGAATTCTCTGTCCTAGTTCTTCAATAGTGACTGTACCCTCATTCACATAGCTGAGTAACTTCTGAAAATACAACAAAATTCTCATTCTTAATACAAAAAAACTGTACCTTCAAGAATGTAGCATCATTTCATGTCAGAAAAATCCATTCATCTTTTCACCTAAAAGATATCTACAGAAAACTTACAAAGACCAACATCATCATTTCATGTCAGAAAAACCCATTCATCTTTTCATCTAAAAGATATCTACAGAAACTTACACAGACCAACATCATCATTTCATGTCAGAAAAACCCATTCATCTTTTCATCTAAAAGATATCTACAGAAACTTACACAGACCAACATCATCATTTCATGTCAGAAAAACCCATTCATCTTTTCATCTAAAAGATATCTACAGAAAACTTACACAGACCAACATCATCATTTCATGTCAGAAAAATCCATTCATCTTTTCACCTAAAAGATATCTACAGAAACTTACACAGACCAACATCATCATTTCATGTCAGAAAAACCCATTCATCTTTTCATCTAAAAGATATCTATAGAAAACTAACAAAGACCACATCTGGCATACAAGTGTCATTGTTCAGAACTGTTCACTATTTTGGGGAGAAAATGTGTAAGCAGCCGGATAGCTCAGTTGGTAGAGCCACGGTACGGTATTCAGAGGGTCCCAGGTTCCAGTCCTGGTCAGCCTGCACATTTTTCTCTCCCTGTGACACCAGTTTGATAGTTCAAAAGTAAAAGTCACTGTTTTTTATAGTGTATAAGGCATTTATTATCAACATGAAGTATTTTCAAAATGAATTTTTTTTATCCAGATACCTCTGTATGGTAGTGGTCTTTAAGTCCTAGTGGAATGGTTTTTCTCATCTCTAGTGATATAGAATATATATCATCGTGGGATTTCATATTGCCTTCTGGGATATCCAGCAAGGTGACGCAGACTGGGGGAAACCATGGTAACGGGTGCTCCGCCCCTTCCTTCAATCCTAGAAACTCGTTAAGTAAAGGCTTTACTCTGGAAAAAAATCGCATAGAAAATAATAACATACAGAATATATTTTGATTTACATAGTTAATGTAATAAGAACTATTGAAGAATATCTTTATAAATTTTGTAGATTTCTCCATTCATTTTTTCCATTTTCATCTATATTATTTAGAAAACTAAGAGGTAAAGAAAAGCTTACAAGTTGATTTAACTGGAATCACCTTCAGAAAGTATTGACAGATGTCAGATCATTTCGTAACTCATAAAATAAATTGGCAAACAAGATATGACAGTTTGTATTTTATTCAACAATGTATTTTTTCCGATCTGATCAGGAACAGAAAAAAGTTACTTCATATTCGCACATGTATTGTAATAATTTTGAGTAAAACAAAATACGACCGTAATGTCATATATTGTCATAAAGAAACAAAGTTAACATTGATAATCTAAGGATTTATTAGTATTGTCGGTTGAACGTTTAACACGATTATTAGGTCGCAATTTTAACGGTTAGCATTTTTAGCATTTTTTCTAACCATGACATCCCTACAACTTATGCACACACCAGCAACAAACATGTACATCCTATGTTTACTCCTTCAACCATATAATACGACACCTAGGAATCAACCTAAATCAACCTGTCAAAAATATCTTAACATTATCACTTACTCATAGCCTTTGTTCTCAGGCGGCAGGTAAGTTGATGTGAGATTTCGTGCATCGGGAACTTTCTGCACGTGTAAATCACACTCCTCCTTGCTGGGCCATTCTTCATCAAGGTAGTCTGGTGTTACACCTTGAAACTGAAATAAATGAATATTGTATGTATGAATAGAGGTATGTTACACTCTTACTTACTCCTATATTAATCTAAATTCTTCAGAAAACGTTTCACAATTGTATATTCTACATGTATTTTCTCCCTAACTTGTGTATTATAGGCATAATATATTTAGCTTCAAGCTTAATCAGTTTCGTATTTGTATTATTAAATATACATCTTTTCAACTCAACATCTTTACATGTTTTATAACTTCCCTGTTTCAGGCTATAGGCCCCTAATTGGAAATTTCATTGGAAAGAACTCACTTTCAGCAGGGTCTTTCTATTTGAAAGACCCTGCTTACAGAGGCAGATAACTCAAAAGTAAGATGGTGACCCCCAAATGTTTTTTTATCAATTTCTTTCAATCATGATTCTTTTTAATCACACAGAATTTAAGAAAATTTTCTGAGTTAGTTTAAACTTTTCTTCTTTGCCATTAATTTTGTAAAAAGTACTAAAATTTCCCATTAGGGGCCAACTTCCTTAACAAATGTTAATTTTTTCTCTAAAGGTATTTTTCATCAGTTATTAATATACTAACAAGTTGATTTTTTCCAATGTAATGAGTATTTTTTCACTCATTACAGATAAATCCCTTTACTTAAAATAATCTCTGCCTAATGACAATTTGTTTAAAATAAATTTCAAAGTACGTTAAGCATTATTCAATTAGAGACTAAGGCATTTTGACATCAAATCCTATCCGATGCCAAACTTTTTGCATATGTAATTTTGCTACATGAAAACCAGGAAGCAGTGTGAAATATGGCTTTGAACAAGTGCTAAATCAATGAAAACTTTACCATATATCTCCTCATATAAAAACAACCTGTTATAATATTAGTGCAGAGCATTATTGAGGTTATATGGCTCTATATAAATGGTTATTTGCATTAGGCTTGCATTATATTGCAAATAATTGTTTAAATACGACCATATAACCCTTCAAAAAATCTTGATAACAAATTAATAATTAAGCAAACTTCCTTTATTAGAGAAACAAAGAAATAACATGGCAGCAGCTTTGTATAAAGATTATATAAAAGTCCTGATTATTCAATGAAAGGATTATACAAACATGCAGTATCATAATCCTAAATATAGTGCACACAAATTATGAGCCTCATGTATAGACACAGAGACAGAAAAACTATTAAAAACATACCCTTGGTACTTTGACAGTCTCAAATGTATATTTAGGTCCTCTGACAGGCTTCGTATAATCTCTTGTACTAGCAACTTCAGGTTCTGTTTTAGCACTCTTATCTTCCTCCTGAAAAAACAAGTATAAAATTATCTATTATCAGTCGAATTAATTTATGACAGGACTTGCCAATCCTTCTTTTTTGAGGGGGTTAGGTTTTACCTCACACCAACAATGTAAAGGTCATAATTATGCAGATTTTCCAGCTTTACTGGTGGAGGAAGACCTCAGGTGCCCCTCCTTGCATTATTTCAGGCATGGATGGGCATCTAAGTACAACAACCTACCTTCCTTTAGCTAGCTGGATAGATTACTCAACTGAAAAAATTAAAAGTCCCTTGCTGGATTCAAACTAACAGTGTTGAGGGGCATGTGCTTTGAATTCAACGACCTTAACCTCCCAGCCACCAATGCCCCTTTTTCAAAATATCTATGAACAAATACTGTTTGAAACCATCAGAAAGACAAAAAACAAATTAATTTCAACCAACAAACCTTAAGGTTATCTTGGGGCGGTTTGTCAGCTGGTACAGTGAGGTCCATCTCTATAGCAGGATCGGACTTTTTACCCCATGAGCACATGAGTACCTGTTTACCATCCTTCCCTCCCATCTTACAATATTCACCTGAAAAAATAAAATATCACAAAAATCTGAGATTATGTTAAAGGAACTCCACTGAGGTCTAAAAGCCTAAAACAATAAATATTGAATTTTTCACACAATTCTGCTCATCAACTGTGGCACTTAAAACAGAAAGTTATGCAAAAGGTAATTAAGAAAAATAACTTCTCCGAAATGAATTGAAAATTATACATTTGTGCTATTTTTCGTCTAATTTGAGTGAATAGTGTAATGTTTTTCACTTTTTGATAATTTTTCACAATTAGAAAAATCATTCTGGAAAAATGGAGTGAGTAAATAATCTGAAACTTTGCACACAAGTTATTTGCCTAAACCTACATCTAATGGAACATAAATCTTCAAAAAAACAAAAAACTATTTCCAATCCACCATGTCAAAAAAAAGTTTCAGTCGAGCACCTTAAAAAACATGGAATTTATTACATGCTTTTCGGTGGTTTATAGAAATATATCAGTGATATAAAACTGGTAATTTCACTATTTTAAACAGTGAAATTACCACTTTTATAATTTCACTGTTTTGAATTTAAGCCCCTCATGTTGTTTCAGTGAAATACCAGCGTGCACAGTACTGGGTACCAACTCAATGACGTGACGTCGTAAATGACGTCGCGTTGTATTATTATTTGGCGCGCTTTTCATTCAATATTAGGTTTAATGTCTTTTAAAAACGTTTCTTTGCATGTAATAAAAAGAAAATTTGTTTAGTTTAGTGTAAGATCGAAATATATTTCACCTTGTGAACACCAAAAGTTCATATTTCACTCGTGGCTGCGCCACTTGTGAAATATACCTTTTGGTGCTCACTCGGTGAAATATATTCCGATCTTACACTGAACTAAACAAATATCCTCTATATCTTATCAATGAACTTTCTAATATTTGGCTCCTTCATAATTAGTTTTTTTTATAAACAATGTCTTATCAACTATACCATTATTATCCTTAATTATCAAAATAAAATATCAAAATTTGTGAAAATGTCTAACCCTTTCCAGGCTAATGAACATGCCATGCCCTGGTTGAATTTTGAGCTGTACATTTTATATGTTCTGCAAGTTACTATAGAATCTACAAATGAGCCGCGCCATGACAAAACCAACATAATGGGTTTGCGAACAGCATGGATCCAGACCAGCCTGCGCATCCGCACAGTCTGATCAGGATCCATGCTGTTCGCTATCAGTTTCTCTACTTGTAATTGGGTTGGTAAGGGAACAGCATAGATCCTGATCAGACTGTGCGGATGCGCAGGCTTGTCTGGATCCTTGCTGGTTGCAAACCCATTATGTTGGTTTTGTCATGGCGCGTCTCAAATGTGACCAGCGCAGACCAACATCATTTTGTAATGTTTTTAAAAACATTCTAGTTAACTTTGACAAAAAACCTTCTAGGCAACTTTGACAAAAATTCTCTGCAAAAAAAAAGCTTTCAGAATTATGCTACTTGCCTTACAACTGCCCTTTGTACATGGTTAAGACAGTATACCAAATTTCATGTTGGTAGCTTTTAAAATGTCCAAATATTAATAGGCTGCATTAAAGTTGGTTTTTTTGCATAGCAATAACAACTACAACAATGACACCACCGTTGCAATGCTTATAAAAGCATGTCTTTTTCTTCGAAAAAGGCAAGCTAAAAAGAATTTTACCCAATATTTTTTCTTTTCCTTGATCTATTACATGGTATATTCTAAATAAATACTTTTATCTTCTGTCCTCAATCTGTTATATGTCAAAGAAATTTTTAACAGATTAGTAGTATTATACATATTATACATGGTTTCAGATTAATGTGACCTTGACCTATGTGACCTTTCATTATCTAATCTTCATTATCATCTTCAACTGTTTACAATGCACAATAAGTATTATTTAAGTATCTTTTGATAAAGGGAAAACCAACCATAAGCAAACCAATAATAAGTATGTTGGTGACTGCGGTACATTAAAAATTAAGTTGTCTGCAACCTTGCAAAGTTGAGTATGTAAAAGCTCAGTATATGAAAGCTCAATATGTGAAAGCTCTGTATATAAAAGCTCAGTATATCAAAGGCAAGTATGTCAAAGCTCAGTATATCAAAGCTCAGTATGTCAAAGCTTAGTATATCATAGCTCAGTATGTCAAAGCTCAGTATATCAAAGCTCAGTTTATCAAAGCTCAGTATGTCAAAGCTTAGTATATCATAGCTCAGTGATGTCAAAGCTCAGTATATCGAAGTTCAGTATGTCAAAGCTAAGTATATCTTAGCTCAGTATGTCAAAGCTCAGTATGTCAAAGCTCAGTATGTCAAAGCTCAGTATGTCAATGTCCAGTGTGTTAAATTTCATTATGTCAAAGAGAAGTTTGCCAAAGCTCAGTATAACACAGCTCAGAATGTCAAAGTCAAGTATGTCAAAGCTCAGTATATCAAAGTTCAGTATATCGATGAACAGTTTGTCAAAGCTCAGTATGTCAAAGCTCAGTATGTCATAGCTCAGTATGTCAAAGTCCAGTAGGTCAAAGCTCGGTATATCAAATCTCAGTATATCAAAGCTCAGCATTTCAAAGCTCAGTGAACAGTATATCAAAACTCAGTATGTCAAAGCTCAGTATATCAAAGTTCAGTATATCAAAGTCGAGTATGTCAAAGCTTAGTGTATCATAGCTCAGTATGTCAGAACTCAGTATGTCAAAGCTCAGTATATTATCATTCAGAATGTCAAAGTTCAGTATGTTAAAGCTCAGTTTGTCAAAGCTCTGTATATCAAACTTCAGAGGTTCAATGTTCAGTATATCAAAGCTTAGTATGTCAAAGCTCAGTATGTCAAAGCTATATAAGTTATATTTCAGTATGTCAAAGCTCAGTATGGTATATTTCAGTATGTCAATGTCAAGTATGTTAAATTTCATTATGACAAAGCAAGTTTGCAAAAGCTCAATATGTCAAAGCTAAGTTTATTAAAGCAAAGTTTGCCCTAATTCAAAGCTCAATTTGTGGTAGTTAAAGCTCAGTTTATCATATGTCAAAATTAAGTATGTCAAAGCACTGAATGTATATACTAAGTGAAGATGTAATTTTCAAAATATTTTGTTGCTGAGGTATAAAGGAAGTTTTACAAAGAGAGCTATGCCCAATGAAGTCTCAAAATTCAAACAATCTTTTATCATTTTGATTTCAGAGTAATCTTAACAGTGAACTTATCTCAAGACTTAATATACATGCATTTCATATCTCTATAATCATAATATCTATCACCAGGTCAAATATTATCATAAGTAATGTAAATATTAAACATCATATATGAATAATTGTCTAGCCTAATTTTGTTTTGTGATTAAATTGTAATCTACTATTTGATCTATGTCAGGTAATAAGTGATCAACACATTAAATAGTACTGAAATGAGGATGTGAGAAATAGACTTAGGATATTAAACATCTCTGAGTTTAGAGGCAAAAGTCTGCTTGTACATTATCATCTCTTGGTTCAGATGGAGGGCCTGCTTGATGCTTGCTTGGACACATCATTTCTGAGTTCAGATGTTTGTATATCATCTCTGGGTTCAGATGTGGAGTCTTTCTTGTAAACATCATTTCTTGAGTTAAGATGATGGTATATCATCTCTGGGTTCAGATGTGTAGTCTTGCTTGTAAACATCATTTCTGAGTTCAGATGTTTGTATATCATCTCTGGATTAAGATGTGGAGTCTTGCTTGTAAACATCATCTCTGAGTTCAGATGCTGGTATATCATCTCTGGGTTTAGATGGAGGGCCTGCTTGAAGCTTGCTTGGACACATCATTTCTAAGTTCAGATGTTGGTATATTATCTCTGGGTTCAGATGTGGAGTCTTGCTTGTAAACATCATTTCTGAGTTCAGATGCTGGTATATCATCTCTGGGTTCAGATGTGGAGTCTTGCTTGTAAACATCATTTCTGAGTTCAGATGTTAGTATATCATCTCTGGGTTCAGATGCAAGGGCTTGCTTGAAGCTAGCATGGACACATCATTTCTGGGTTGAGATGTTGGTATATCATCTCTTGGTTCAGATGTGGAGTCTTGCTTGTAAATATCATTTCTGAGTTCAGATGCTGGTATATCATCTCTTGGTTCAGATGGAGGGCCTGCTTGAAGCTTGCTTGGACACATCATTTCTGAGTTCAGATGTTGGTATATCATCTCTTGGTTTAGATGTGGAGTCTTGCTTGTAAACATCATTTCTGAGTTCAGATGCTGGTATATCATCTATGGGTTCAGATGTGGAGTCTTGCTTGTAAACATCATTTCTGAGTTCAGATGTTGGTATATCATCTCTTGGTTCAGATGTGGAGTCTTGCTTGTAAACATCATCTCTGAGTTCAGATGCTGGTATATCATCTCTGGGTTCAGATGTGGAGTCTTGCTTGTAAACATAATTTCTGAGTTCAGATGTTAGTATATCATCTCTGGGTTCAGATGTAAGGGCTTGCTTGAAGCTTGCTTGGACACATCATTTCTGGGTTCAGATGTTGGTATATCATCTCTGGGTTCAGATGTGGAGTCTTGCTTGTAAACATCATTTCTGAGTTCAGATGTTAGTATATCATCTCTGAGTTCAGATGCTGGTATATCATCTCTTGGTTCAGATGTGGAAGCTTGCTTGTAAACATCATTTCTGAGTTCAGATGTTAATATATCATCTCTGGGTTCAGATGCAAGGGCTTGCTTGAAGCTTGCTTTGACACATCATTTCTGGGTTCAGATGCTGGTACATATCATCTCTGGGTTCAGATGTGGAAGCTTGCTTGTAAACATCATCTCTTGTTCAGGGGCAGAAGATTGTGCACATCATCTATAAGCTTCAGAGGTAGACTTCTGCTTAAACACACCATCTCTGGGGTTCAGATGCAGAGACCTGCTTAGACACATTTTTTCTGAGGTTAAGATGTACTCATCTGCTTCAACACATCATTTTTTGGGTTCAGATGCAGAAGTCTGCTTGTACATATCATCTCTAGTGTTCAGATGCAGTGGCCTGCATGTACACATCATTTCCAGCTTAACATGCAGGTTCTTGCTTGTACATAACATATTTGGGTTTCAGATGCAGATACCTGTTTGTACACATCATCTCTGGGTTTAGAGGTCTACACCTGCTTAGACACATCATCCTAGAAGTTCTGAGGCAGACCCTTGCTAATACACACCATCTCTGAGTTCAGGGGGCAAACATCTGCTTAAACACATCATTCCTGATGTTCAGAGACAGAAGCCTGCTTGAACACATCATTTTGGGGTCCAGATGCAAATGCTGCTAGTACGCAATATATATTCTATAGACTTAGTTGCACAACCCTTCTAGTACACATTACATCTAGGTTCAGATGCAGAGGTCTGCCTGTACACATAATCTTTGAGGCCTACTTGCTTACATTATCTTTAGGGTTCACATGCAGATGCCTGTTTTTACACATAATCTTTGGGCTCCGATGCAGAGACCTGCTTGGACATATCTTCCACCAGGCTAGAACTGCTTGCACCCATCACTCCTGCATACATAGATCAGTGAAGATGCAAGACTGACTCAACATTGACTAAACAGTGCAGACCATGATCAGATGGCATGGATGTGCTTGCTGGTAATGGTATACACTGGTCACATCAATATATTCAGTGGCCATCAGCAGGCAAAGGATTTAAAATGTTATCAGAATATAACAATTGGGATTTTTTGTTGATTTTCTTGTAATTATTTATCTACACAATTTGTTTGGTTATTCAACCCAATTTTGTTTGGTTATTCAACCCAAAACTAACACAATTAGGTCATATGATAACTTTATCTTAGAGGAATAATTATCTTGACTCTCTAAGCATTATTGCAGGCACAAGCTAGTCCTTCTTGTAGAACCAATGAATTTGCATTGTCACAAAAATTTCAGACACACTGTATATACTCGCTAAAGGTCGCACTGCTAATAAGACGGGCAGTCGGATTCCTTGTAAGACGGGGATGATCTCACAGATGTGTAAGAAAACTAATATATCACCATTTAGACAACAATTAACATTATTTTTACACATCTTTTAAGTGTAAATGTAAAATAGAAAATTGATTTTTGAGAAAATATTCATAATTGTTCAGCTTTAAATGATTGAATTTATGAATCACTATTTATAAAATAGAAATTGGTTTCAAGACTGGAAATGAAATTCTACTATTGGTCAATTTAGAAAATGAGTTAAGAAACAGCCAATCAAATCCCTTGAGATTTAGACTGGAACCAAATATCAAGCTTTATATAAAGGCCTTATGGTAAAAAAAAAATAACAAAGACTTCTATAGTTTTAATTTTTTCTCAAAATTTTAATACTTAATAATATTTAATAATAATAAATGGCAAAATTAACAGAAGCATTAAAAACATAGGTACAGCTCCCTGTTCAACATTAATAAATTTTTCATCTCACATTCTTAATGTTGAAATATTTCTAAAAAAAAATTTCACATTTTTACAATATTTCTAACTTACTGACTAGTACATAGAAAATGACTTAATTTTATAAATAATCATATAATAAAGTTTTAAAGTTGGTTTAAAATCTGCCATAATAAAATAAGCACTTAATTCATTGAGGTCAAAAACACAAAAAAATGTGCAAAAGAAAAACAAAAACACTTTATCAACGTGAACAAAATTAATAGAAGAAAAGTGATCAAAAGCAGCCTATTGACAGCATGCTGGACAACTTGAATTGTCAGCAAAATTGTGCATTTAAATAAGAAAGAAAAAAAAATTGTCAAAACAAGCGGTGGGTCATTTGATCAAATCAATTTTTCTGAGAGAAAAAAATATATCATTAAATTTCTGTACAATCAAATAAATAATAAGAAAGCAAACTATATAATTAAGAATCATTTCCATGGATTTCAAAGTTTAAAACCCGAGTTTGGATAATATATTTGACAAGATAAATTCAGAGAGCTTTGCTTAGATACAAAATAAAAGCAAGAGTTACTGATTTCCTAGCAGTTTCCGTCCCCTAGCAGTTTTCCGGACGTTTATCATTTTCGTCCAGTACAGTCTATTTTTACCAGTAAGGCATCCACATTCTCCATAAATCAGAGAGAGATTTGTTTTCTTCGCTAAACAGCATTTAAAATTGTACAACGATTTATATGTTTGAAGTTTTGCCTGTTATATAAAGTTACATAAGAGAACTTGCGACTTTCAAAAATAAGCAACACCTGGGGAATTCTAGTTTGAATATCCATGCACAATAACTAAGACCCCATTTTAGGTAAATCAATACTGCAGATAATTTAATGGCAGACGACACGGAAAAGGTTGGGAAGTTCTGTTTGTCTGACAAAACCATCTTAACATTGCTTTATGGTACTGAATTATATTCAAAATAAAAAAAGTCCGGAAAACTGCTATGAATTTCTGAATAAAGTTGAAAAAAGGTGTTACATTTCAGGCTTATATTCAAATAAAAAAGTAAAATGAAAGTGCAATATTAAACACATGGCAATACTCGACAGGTACCTAACTTTGTCCTGTCCAAATTATGTACCCCTCCGTAGACTGATGTTTATTTTATTTGTTAAAAAGTGCGATTTTTGGCCGGAAACTGCTGGGAAACCAGTATGTCACTTGTCCTGGATGATAAACTCATAATGCTTTAAGATATTGCAAATAATCCAATCAACTCCTTTATACAGAAAACTGAAAATGAAGTTTTTTTAACTGAAAAAGGGACATAATCTTAATAAAATATAATAAAGAGTTACGGAACTTGGTACAGAAGATTTTCACAAAATACCAATTGCAAACCTCCACCCTAAAGTGTGTCATCAAATAGTCACTTGAGTAACAATCTTTTATACAGATTTACCAAGTCAAAGAATGGCATTACTTTAATGAAATGTCTGCTGCAACGCCTGCAAGGTTTCTTATAGTGCAAAATACATGTATGCATGACTGTATATACCTTAAGCCTGCTGGTAGCAAATGAATTTACCAGTGCAAACCATGCAGACTATCTGATCATGGTCTGCACTGTTAGTTATTCAGTACACACTTATTTTAATTTTTATACCTAAAAGTATTTTTAATGGTTTTGTCCAGACTGAAAGTGCATTTAAGATATTTAGCAAAGTAAGTGTTTATGTGGTTTGGAATCACTTGACCAAAACTGCCCTACATATGCCCGTACCAACATAAGATTAAGATAAAAATCTCAATATAAGTGCTAAAGAAATGAAAAAAAAGAAGACATAAGCGAAATAAAAAGCAAAGCACACTATTCTAGAAGCCTCAGACATCACAAGTACCTATTTCCGAAGAAAGCTCCTTTATTTTAAGTTCCTCGTAAGCCACGTGTTGTGAGAGTTTAACTTCAAGGGGCACTTGATCACGAGCCAGTGTAGTTGGTTATCCACTCTGTTACTACCAATAGTTGTGCCCAGAGAAATCGATGTTTACGTGGTCATGTTTTTGTGGTTTCCGCGGTAGTTGTTATATTCTAATCATTTTTTCGTTGCAATGCACCTCTGTTATACGATAACATATTTATTTGCTCTCGACTCTGTTTTACCGTTGAACCACCCACCGCGTCCCACGACCAAAACCCAACATAATGGTCTGTTTGCGCGCATGGGATCCAAGACCTGCCCTGGCGGTCACGGTTCTAAATCATACCGGCTCCCCGCCACGTATCTGATCAGGAATCACATATGCTGTTCGCACACCTTACCAAACTCTATTAAACCAAGTAGAGAAAACCTCGGATATCGCGATAACAGCATTGTGTGCGATTGCCTGATCAGACTGCTTGCGGATGCGCACAGTGTCCCACTGCCTCTGGTCTTCTGCTCATGCTGCGTCGCAAAGCCCCCCCATTATGTTGGTTTTTTGGACCCTGTTAACGTGTTTTAAATACTGCATGCTATTCTATTTCAATATTGGTTTTAAACATATTTATGTTAAGCTCGATTGCGAACAACAAGTGCTTTTTTATGCAAATTATATTATAATCACTTCTGCGAATCTGGCTTCCTGGAACCAAACCAGCTTTAACTGGGTGTCATATAAAGAACACCTGGGTCAGTGATTCAATTAGGGCTCGAAACAATTGATCTCTGGGTTGAGAGGCAGACACCTTAACCACTAGGCCACTGCTTCCCTATCTATCAACATTGACCATCTACTTTGGAAGTAGATATCAATATTCAGTGCATTGTTATAGAATAATGCACGGTTGGAGTTCAAAATACGCAGGAATATAATATTCATAAAAATATGTTGAACGGCCTGGAGTGTATGCCATATGGCGGGTAAGCATTTGTTTTTATTCTGTGCATATATCATGTTACAATGCACTTGATTGCCCTATTTGTTTCATCAGGGAAAAGTGTAAGAATCTATATTTTTGGAATTAACAAAAATACCCTTCACAATGGATAATAGATACACTTAATAAACCTTTAACCTACTGAATATTGTAAATGGACTTGTCCACCTTCCATGAAGTGTTTGGTCTAACTGCACTTGACTAGACTATACTGTTTGAAGCCTGTTGTTTTGGGGCGGTATGAGACCCATGAACCCAATGAATAAGAATTTGTGGGACATTTTGGTAAAACCAAGGGAAAGGATCCAAATTTTATAGGATCAAATGTAAAAATGTCATGGCAGTCCTGCAATCCCATGCTCAAAAAGCAACATGGCGGCCTAAGTTAAGCCATATTGCCAGTTACATTCAAAGAATTTGAGGCTGAAAACAACCAGGTCTTGAACCTACCTATGCTGAGCCTCTAGCGCACTCTCTAGCTTAGCGTGGCATATAACAGCATGTTTACGTTTGGCTGCTGCCTCGAAATCCGGCTGGATTCTTAATGTGTTCTCGAAGCAGATCACAGACTTGTTATACTCTCCAAGAACCTGTCGATCAAACAAGACAATATAGACTGTCAATCAAACAAGAAAATATAGACTTTCAATCAAACAAGTATATAGAATGTCAATCAAACAAGCAAATACAGACTTTCAATCAAACAAGACAATATAGAATGTCAATCAAACAAGACAATATAGAATGTCAATCAAACAAGACAATATAGACTGTCAATCAAACAAGAATATATAGACTTTCAATCAAACAAGACATTATAGAATGTCAATCAAACAAGAAAATATAGACTTTCAATCAAACATGACAATATAGACTGTCAATCAAACTAGACAATATAGAATGTCAATCAAACAAGACAATATAGAATGTCAATCAAACAAGAGAATATAGACTGTCAATCAAACAAGACAATATAGACTGTCAATCAAACAAGACAATATAGAATGTCAATCTAACAAGACAATATAGACTGTCAGTCACACAAACCAATATAGAATGTCAAACAAACAAGGCAATATAGACTGTCAATCAAACAAGGCAATATAGACTGTCAATCAAACAAGGCAATATAGACTGTCAATCAAACAAGGTAATATAGACTGTCAATCAAACAAGGTAATATAGCCTGTCAATCAAACAAGACAATATAGAATGTCAATCAAACAAGACAATATAGACTGTCAATCAAACAAGACAATATAGACTGTCAATCAAACAAGGCAATATAGAGTGTCAATCAAACAAGGTAATATAGAATGTCAATCAAACAAGGCAATATAGAATGTCAATCAAACAAGACAATATAGAATGTCAATTAAAAAAGGTAATATAGATTGTCAATCAAACAAGGCAATATAGACGGTCAATCAAACAAGGTAATATTGACTGTAAATCAATCAAAGACAATATAGCCTGTCAATCAAACAAGACAATACTAAAACAATATTCCTTAGCAATTACTAAAATAACAATTATATTAAATTTCTAGACAGTACATCTATTGTTTCAACAGTAAATTCTCAATATTAATCATTCAATGATTCCCAATTTTACACCAATTTCTACTTATTAGCAGTTACCAATAGAACATCGAATTTTATTTTTCAGCAATTACTAATTCATTGGCAAAATCTATTTGTCAGAAAATACCAACATAAAAACAAATCCTATTTTTCATTTTAACATTTCATTTCCCATCTAATTTACTGAACTTTAGCAATTAAATTTCCCTGGATAGTGTTTTAACATTTAGTACCATGAAGTAACTTACATTATAGCATAAAATGTTTATAAAATTCAATTCCTATGATTTACTTACAGCATATATATTTCCCAGTGTAAAGTGGTTAACATTAAGTTCCCTGGAAATATCAATGGCAGCATGTACAACAATTGCTGCCTCGTTGGATTTCTGGGCACGGTGTAAAACATTTGCTAAACTGATCAGAGCCACATCTTTCTGCATCCTGAAAATAGTAGATGTCATTTGTACATACATATACATAATTATCAGCAATACTTTTAGTGTTTTTATTCGCAAAGTTTTCCTACAATACAAAGACAAACCAGTTCTTTTTGAACTCATCATAACTATAACCTTTAATGGATTCCACCAAGGAGTGACAGGAAAGACAAAATTTAAAAAAAAAATAACAAAAAAAAACAAAAAACAAGTAAATACTTTTGAATGCCTTTTCTCAGCGTTCCTGTCTTAGTAATGGGCTTTTGGTCATTTCTTTTGCTTACTTAATTCTTTTTCTCCTAAAAGAACGCTTAAAGTTTGGTAATTTCATGAAAATTCAGCTTTAGACCCTTTGATAGATTTCTTAAATCAATCTAATGTAAATTTGCTCTTTTGCTCAATTGAGTGCCTATAGTAGGCACAATAAACTTGTGCATCAAAACTGTAAAATTGTTACCTAGGAGAGAAGTGGAGCGCTCTTCTTACACACTCTATAACATTATAAGGGTCGCCCTTGATCCTCCAGTAAAACGCAGCCATGTTGTATAATATCCACGAGGTTTGATTCTGAAATGAGCAGATACAGATGAATTTATTGTTATTATTCTGTGATACGGTTGTCATGTTTATATGTTAAAATGGATATTATATAATCGGTTTTTAGCTGAAAACCGGTAAGGAAACGAATACCAGGTGACCAAGGTTAATATTAGACAAATACCAGGTGACCAAGGTTAATATTAGACAAAGTGACAATTTTTTACAAAATTTATTCTAAACATTATATTAGTTTTTAATAACAAGATTTGACATTCTGTATGTATTTCACTTGTTTTCTCTGATTGCATGCTATCTGATAGGCAGGCACTTTAACAGCATGTCCACTGCTGTATATTTTGATAAGGTAATGATTACATGTCAAGTATACGGTCTAAGTGTAATTAAAAGAAATAACTGAACTATAAACAAATATATAACCATTCTTACAAACAAATAACATCTTCTAATCCTGTATTTTTCCTCTATTCCTTTATTATAAACCTAAATGAAAGACCTATCCCCCCCCCATCCTCATTCCCGTAACTTTTCATTTTGAAACTATTCCCTTATACATGTACATGTAATACAATGTAATACCTTTTTAAAAGCTTCATAAATTCTATGCCCATATTCATCAACGTTATCTTGATAAGTTATTGCGTTTTTAAGCCCAAGTTCCGGAGAACCCGGCAATTTCCGGCGGTCCCTCATACCATCCAGGTGCTCGTAAGCATACGGACTGTAAGGTAGGTCTACATACTGCGTACAGTCAGGCTGCATCAGGAATGACCCAGGTACGAATCTTGGTAGATAGTCCTCGGGCCTGTGAAATATGAATAAAACAATTAAGTAAAATAGAGAAAAACTGAAATTCATTAACAACGCCTAAAATGACAAAACTGAAAATGTTGCAGGATACATTTGAAGGACTTGAGACAGTACTGGAAAGTGCAAGTTAAATTTATCACACAATCATTATCACTATGGCCTATCTTTTATCATTGATGGAAACCCACAGTACACATTATTTAATACTTTATAACAGTAAATAATATGAGAGGAACACACGACAATGCTAGTTTTGGGTATTCACTACCCTTTTTCAAGGTACATTTAATACTTGTACAAGGTAAATAGCCTGGGTTATCGGCGATGATCTTTTATATTGAAACTGACATTACCTTTGAAACAAAATAATACACAATTTTATACAGATAAATATTCACATAACATGCTTTTCAAATTAACATTTTCAATTTTCCCTAAATTTTTTCTAGCTTTTGTACCCCAGTTCTACATCTGTTTCACAATGTTTGCCAAGTAGATATTTTTGTGCCATTGTAAACCATGCCAACTTACCTTATTCCTTTATTTTCTAGAGGTAACACTGTGCTGATATAAAGGTCAAGGTCAGGCAGCTGTTTTCCGGCTGCTAAACAATCAGGATCTGTTTTATAAAACTTCTCCTCTAAACCTGAAATAAATAAAATTCAAAATTGCTCTAATCTCAAAAGTATAAATCAATAACATACACATTAATTTTCTTTTTCTTTCCAAATACAATCAAATTTTTCATAACATGCTTGATTAAATTTAGATTTTGCCCCAGTAAGGCTGAGGCCACAGAATTCAAATAAATTAAACTCATAATCTACATTACAAATCAAATATTAACCCTTTGACCTTCTAAATCCCTTAAAGGGATATGTCCAGTTTTCATATTTTTTTAAACTGTCCAGTATCAAATTTACGGATAACATAAAGAAGAAAATTTAAATTTACTCCGCCAACAGTAACTGTATAAAACCAGGTTGGACTGCAAGTATTTGCAGACTAGCAGGACTCTATACTGGTGGCAAAGGCTGTTCCCTTTCGGTTTCAGTAGGATAAGTTTAGAATTTATAAAAAATTTAATGTCAAATTTGTACTCAATTGATCAGGACCTGTGGTATGAATGAAACAAAGACTTAAAAAAAATATTTTTGTTTGGTTGGGTTTTAACGCTGCACCAGCATGACCAGTACACAGAATAGGTAATAATTGGCGCTTTTGCAGCTTTACTGATGGAGGAATACATCAGGTGCCCCTCTGTGCATTATTTCAGGCACAAACTGGCACCCGAGAAGAACCACCAGTGCTCTTTAAGCTAGCTGGATAGCTTTCTCACATGTAAAATCCGATGACACTTTTATAAGCACCTTGAATCTACATGATCTACATGTACTACAGTGAGAGGCAAGAGGTTTGAAGTCAACTACCATAATCAATCGGCCACACACATCTTTCTAGGGTTTTATTAACATTAAAAGCACATACATTGTATCTTTATATATTAATCTAACTTTTATGTTTATCAAGTATACAATGTTTCCTTAAAAACAATAAATGCAAAATTCTGTTCTGTTCAGTCAGAGGTCATTACTTTACATGATTCAAAACTGGGAGGTAAATTGCATTATAAACATGATTCCTGTAATGAAATTGAAACAAGAATCTTTGAAAAGATTTATCTCTGATCAGCGGTAATCCCAGAACTCGTGTGATGTGAGAGACTTGGTCTAAGATAAATAGCTGAGAGGATGCACCACTTGTAACAGGAGACAATTAGTTCAATATTTCAAACGATAACTAACCAGCAAGATTATACGGATTCTAAAAATTATTAAAATAAACATCAACCAAACACCACAATGTGTGCAGGAATGTAAAAATGATGTCTATTTATGTTTTCAAACATTCTGTTGATAATATAATGTTTACTATAAATACTCCATCGAGATTAATTCAGCTTTGCAAAATTTGAATCAATTTTGTTTACACAACTTTATAATTATAGTTATACACACACTTCCTGATGTTTATAAGTTACTTCGACCAAATATAGACAAGTATTTTCATTACAATTCTTAGGAAGATATTCAAAACTAAGTAGTTATAGCATCTAGATTTCTTGTGTCATGAATTTGACTCAATCTTGTTTTCTTGTCCAAGATTGATATCTTCGCTTCCCTCTAAAGTGTTATTTTTTTTTTTGTTGTCAGTGTGATGTCTTAAGCCCCTAGAAGCCAGCAACACTAACAGAGGTTGGATTTTGTAATACAAGAGATGAAATTATCACATATCCAAGATAAGCTCTCTTTCAAAGAAAATTTAATCAAATACAATCTAATGATAAAGCCTCCACATGCGGAATATGTGAGTGTGAATGGCTCAAAGTTGACTAGAGAGGCTGCTATAGAAGCAATTACACTCAGATAGTATCTGTACTTCACTCATGCTTCGAGTAAATACACATAGATGAATCGCCACGTTAATAAGCCTGTTATATATTTTACGATGTATTTGGGATTTGAAACTTAAATTTCTTGACCTAACTTGTAGGCCCGGTTCCACAGTGGTTAGACAAGAAGCTAGCTCTCGTATGATCTACCTCTGAGGGCTTGCATCCTACTATTTAGTATGCAGTTTCGCCATACTCGTCGGCAAGTTATAGAGTGTTAGCCCTCAGCGCACAAGTCCTCAGACTCTCTCTCCTCTCCTCTCTCGGTACAACTTAGGTCGTTTTGCACAATGACCCTGTACCCTTGTGAATTTGGAATTTCAGCAGTGTTTTGCCCAAAATCAGGAATTTTGGCAGTGTTTTGCCCAAAATCAGGAATTTTAGCAATGTTTAGCCCAAAATCAGGAATTTTACCAGTGTTTTGCCCAAAATCAGGAATTTTAGCAGTGTTTTGCCCAAAATCAGGAATATAAATTTGTTATGGATGTCTTGATTACATAATTATAAATGTACTTCAAAGAACATAAAAATATGACTGTAGATAAAAACGGCTCACACATTATTAAACACTATAACTTTAACAAGAGCTGTCGGTAGGACAGCACGCTCGACTATTCTAAGTGCTTGATAGTAAAAGAGCCTTGATAATGTTAAATTTTTTAAGTTCACAAAAGGGCTAATTTTTTTTTATAAATTCATGTTATAGGCCTTAGAGAGAGTCTAATTATACAGTATTGGCTTGACTATTCGGAAGGTAATGTCACGAGGCTGTTTTATTGAGTATAATAATACTAATTACCTATGAATACATAAATTTGACAGAAAAGGTACAAAGGCTTGTTATTAAGATGTTTTATCAAGTAAATAACTGCTTTATTATTATGAATGCATAAAATTGTCCCAAAAAAGGCACAAACCCTTCAGTAGTTATTGAGATAACAGCTTACAAGCAAAACTTTACCATGAATTTCTAAGTTGAAAAAGGGGAGAAAAATCAGCCTAAATGCAAGATAGAATTATGGATCTTTGTCAGTGACCTACAATTATGACCCTAAATGCATATGTGAAGTTTTAAATAAATATCTTTAATAGTTATTGAGATATGTAAAACTTGCATGTAAACATTAACCAAGAGACTAAGTAGAAAAGGAGATATGAATCAGCCTTAATGCTAGATAGAGTTATGGAACTTGGTCAGTGACATACAATTATGACCCTCCAATTATGACCCTAAGTGCATGTGTAAAGTTTCAAGTAAATATATTTGAAGACCTTTAACCAAAATTTCTAAGTTTCAAAGGGGCAAATAATTCTGCAAATATTGCAGGCAGAGTTATGCAATTTTGCAAACTTGATGTACATTGTTACTATAAAAAAGTATTTTAAATTACAATTGAATATCTCAAGCAATAATTGAGATATTTGACTTTACAAAAAAGTTTTAACCAAAAATTTCTAAGTTAAAAAAAGGGACATAATTCTGTCAATATTGTAGGCAGAGTTATCCAACTTTGTCAATCTGATGTAGCTTGTTACTATAAATAAGTATTGTAAGTTTTCAATTGAATATCTCAAGTAATAATTGAGATATTTGACTTTACAAAAAACTTTAACCAAAATTTCTAAGTTAAAAAGGGGCATAATTCTGTCAATATTGTAGGCAGAGTTATCCAACGTGTCAATCTGATGTAGCTTGTTACTATAAATAAGTATTGTAAGTTTCAATTGAATATCTCAAGTAATAATTGAGATATTTGACTTTACAAAAAACTTTAACCAACGCAGACGCGGACGCGGACGCCGGGGCGACTACAATAGCTCTCATATTCTTCGAATAGTCAAGCTAAATATACGTAACCTCACATACATGTAACTGTTTAAATAACAATTTTTTTTTTCAAGAACTGTGAAAATCATGAGCAGACTTGAAAATGATATATCCAAACATTTAAATGATATGTCCAAACATTTAATTTTTTTTCCATTCTAAGTTAATAAAAGCCGACCCTTATATACATTATTCTTATTTTTTCTGTATAAATGATATTTCGTCTATTAACTTTTCATGTGATTGCCAGGACATACTTTTAACTAAGACTATTTTCTTTCTGAATGTCATAACCTTAGTGCAGTAACAGGTTAACTTCTTTTATAATTTAATAGTTTACTGCACTACGGCAAAAATGTATAACAGTGGCTATTTAAGACTTAACCTTTAATGGCAGCTTCCTTGAGTAAAATACTTTAAAATTACGCAGTTTTCCCCAAGAATTCAATTTACAGCAAGTTTCTCTCCACTTTTTGCTAAAAAAAATACCATAAATGCTGTGTTACTTTTCCCCAAATGGCCCTTTCCCCTACCTTCCAAAAATGCCAAGTATTAAACAAGGCTTGTATTTATAATGGACATGACATAGGAAGAACATACCTGAGTATCACAGAGCAAAATAAATGTTTACTGTTGCCTAAAGTTTTTTTTTTTTTTTTTTTTTTAAAAAACAAACTTTATTCATCTATACATTTTCATTTTGTAAAAATTGACAAAAATGATTAAATTATTTTATTTTGTAACAAGAACTGTCGGAGGACAGTAACGCTCGACTATTCGAAAATTTGTCACAAGGGTGTTTCATTGAGTATAATAATGCTTACCTATATGAATACATAAAATTGTCCGAAAAGGTACAAACTCTTCAAGTTTCAATACATTCCCTTCAGTAGTTATGGAGATACAAGCTTACATGCAAACACTTAACCAAGAATTCATGAGTCGAAAAAGGGGCATAAATATGTAAAAAAGCAAATCAGAGTTATGGGACTTGTGCCAATTATCTTAGATAATCACAGAGAACAAGTGTGTGAAGTTTCAATCCATTCCCTTCAGTAGTTATGGAGATACCAGCTTACATACAAAAACTTAACCAAGAATTTCTAAGTCGAAAAAGGGGCATAATTATGAAAAAAAGCAAACCAGAGTTATGGGACTTGTGCCAATCATCTTAGATAATCACATAGAACAAGTGTGTGAAGTTTCAATCCATTCCCTTCAGTAGTTATGGAGATACCAGCTTACATACAAAAACTTAACCAAGAAGTTCTAAGTCGAAAAAGGGGCATAATTATGAAAAAAAGCAAACCAGAGTTATGGGACTTGTGCCAATCATCTTAGATAATCACAGAGAACAAGTGTGTGAAGTTTCAATCCATTCCCTTCAGTAGTTATTGAGATACCAGCTTACATACAAAAACTTAACCAAGAATTTCTAAGTCGAAAAAGGGGCATAATTATGAAAAAAAGCAAACCAGAGTTATGGGACTTGTGCCAATCATCTTAGATAATCACAGAGAACAAGTGTGTGAAGTTTCAATCCATTCCCTTCAGTAGTTATGGAGATACAAGCTTACATACAAAAACTTAACCAAGAATTTCTAAGTCGAAAAAGGGGCATAATAATGAAAAAAAGCAAATCAGAGTTATGGGACTTGTGCCAATCACCTTAGATAATCACAGAGAACAAGTGTGTGAAGTTTCAATCCATTCCCTTCAGTAGTTATGGAGATACCAGCTTACATACAAAAACTTAACCAAGAATTTCTAAGTCGAAAAAGGGGCATAATTATGAAAAAAAGCAAACCAGAGTTATGGGACCTGTGCCAATCAACTTAGATAATCACAGAGAACAAGTGTGTGAAGTTTCAATCCATTCCCTTCAGTAGTTATGGAGATACCAGCTTACATACAAAAACTTAACCAAGAATTTCTAAGTCGAAAAAGGGGCATAATTATGAAAAAAAGCAAATCAGAGTTATGGGACTTGTGCCAATCACCTTAGATAATCACAGAGAACAAGTGTGTGAAGTTTCAATCCATTCCCTTCAGTAGTTATGGAGATACCAGCTTACATACAAAAACTTAACCACAGGGACGCCGACGCCGACGCCGACGCCGACGCCGACGCCGACAAATGGGTGACTGCATTAGCTCGATTATTCTGCGAATAGTCGAGCTAAAAATTGACGAAAATGAAATGTTATAAATCATGGTTTTAGAACTTTGTATAACTACGCTATCAAAATATCAGATGGGTTGGGCACCCTTATCTCATGAGATATCAAATGGCAATGTTGAACACTTTGTGTTTTATTGCCATTAATCATTAATGATTTCATATCAAGCTAAAATATGGCATTATTATTGGAAAACACTTTTGTTGATTGCGGCTAAATGGATGACCTTTTAAAAAACTTATCAATAAAGCTCTTGGGACGTAATGCACGATAGTTATTATTGATCAAACCACGGGTTATTAATTATTTAACTCTTTCTACCAATATGTTTTAACATGCTATGAATAAATTAATGCAGAAAATGAAACAGTTACATGTAATGTAAATTTGTATGAATACATTACAGGCACTTTTACTGTGACTTCAAATGACGAAGAAATATGATTTTCGTGAATTTTTCATCTGTGTTGAAAAGTTCAGTAATTTGTAATGGCATAACACCACTTGGTCCTCAATATAGCGTAATCATGGCCCTGACTAATCTGTTACAACCACATTTCACTTAGCCTGTCATTGAGTATCATGACATCTATATAATTGAGCCGCGTCACGACAAAACCAACAAAGTGCGTTTGCGACCAGCATGGATCTAGACCAGCCTGCCCATCCTCGCAGTCTGATCAGGATCCATGCTGTTCGCTATCAGTAGTGATGGAGAATCGGACCAAAAACATAATCGATAATTGAATTGAATCAAACATAATTAATCGATTAAAATCGGTAAATAATCGAAAACTATTTGTAAATATGCTGGTTCATCTACCAGTTGCCTATAATTAGAAAAACACTAGTACACATCTTTTCAAATATCTATTCTTTTATTTACTTATAATATATGATCATGTATTACAAACCACAGACTAGATTTACATATCAATTGTTTGTAAAACCTGAAAAAAAGTTAAATGAAACGTTTAGACAAAGCATAAACTCCTTAACAATAGCATTTTAACTCTTTTTAACCATTTAAATTCACAATGAACTTTAACTATCACTAAGCTTGAAGAAGCACAAATCTAACAGTAATTTACATGTTCATTTTAAGAAAAAAATATTGTTTTCACTTTCTCTGGACTAAGGCAGGCTCCTTGTCGCTGGTTCTCTGTACTGGTTCGGGTGAGGGCTGCGTTCATTAACGCCACATTTCCTTGTTGATCTTGTTTATCATATTTTGAACTAGATACAGTATGACTAGTTTCATCAGTGTTATGGTGATGTTAGTCGAAATGCTGCTGTAAATTTGTTGTATTACCTAAAAAAACATAAACATAATTTTCTCAGTCCATACTTTCATTTAAAAACCACTACTTAGATTCTTTTTTTTTTCTTTTTTTTAAATCATATTTTGGACTGTGGCTTAGTTTTCAAAAATATTCATTTTTTTTTCATTTTAAATTAACCTTACATTGATACATAACACGTTAAACATTATAATTTACAAAGCATGTTATCATGTTGACAATTGCCTACGATAAAAACTGGTACAGAACTACATGTACGGTAACAGGTTATATCCGAAAAATCATAATGGGAGAAATAAATCACATTTGTTCGCATACAACTTTGTTTTCAAAAGTTTTCATTTTTAATCGACCTTACCTGGATACATTACAAGTTATACATTATCATTTACATAGCATTTGAACACGTTCATAATTTCCTACAATAAAAACTTGTACAAGAACCACATGTCCGCTAACAGGTGATATCCGAAAAAATGGAAAAAAATATTCACCTTTGTTTGCATACGACTTCATGTATAATCGGCAAATGACGGTCGTCATGTGAAGGTTCTGCTTGACTGGCGGGCCGTCAGAATGTTTTTTTAAAACCAAAGACAACGCCAAACTAACAAGCGTGTCTTCCCTTGGAAGTTGAAAATTTCCTCGTCCGACTTTACGATGAGAGTAACGTCCCTTTGTGATTTTCTTTTAACCCAAAGAAATGTAAGTAGCAACATCGATTTTACAGTAAAGAAATCGATTGTCGCTAACATAAGCGGCCAGCGACGATTATTCGATTCTACTCGATCATCGTGACATCACTAGCTATCAGTTTCTCTACTTGCTATAGGGTTTGTAAGCGAACAGCATGGATCCTGATCAGACTGCGCTCATATTATTATATGGATGATATTTAACATTTGATCCAATACTGATTCATAATGGTCATAGAATATTGATTCAATTTAAAAACCATATTCCTTGCCTAGTGCACATATTGCTCTACTTTGTCTGAAGGGAGAAGTCTCACTTTGTTACAAGAAAACATACTTTTTAGCAATGTTATATATAATGTTTGACTTGGGATAACTAAAACAAGCAAGCATAACACCAACATTACAGTTTATAACATGTATTCAAATGTACTGGCTATTTAATTTGGTGTACATGTATAAATATATCACGATTTTTGAATCAGTCTTCTTCTAAATTTTCTAAATACAGTCAAACTTGTGAATAAAGGCCACCAAATGGAGAGACAAGTGGTGGTCTTAATAGACAGGTGGTCTTAATAGACAGGTGGTCTTAATAGACAGGTGATCTTTAATTGGAGGTTACTTTATTACATTTTATCAATAAAGGGTTATCAAAAAGTGACCTTTATTTGCAAATTGCAGGGTTATCTGTATTCAGAGGTGGTCTGTAACACTTGTTTCACTGTACTGTACATCTTTTTGCAACATATGGTTTGAATTTATACTTACTTAATGTTTACCCTGCTGAAGGAGAAAGTGATTAGTCTTTGCCACCAGTATAGAGCCAGGCCAACCTGCTTGTGTCAAAATGGAAATTGGAAAACTCCATTTAAGAAATTCAGCAGGTTAAGGGTTAAACTTAGTGAAAGGTAGAAATGTCTTATTTTTGCAAGTGGAAAAATTACAAATATTACCAATAAACTGTTTGAGAGATAGGGGAATAATTGTCTTCAGCAGACAGTCTGGTCTGAACAAAGCAACACTATTTGTTTAATGGATTGAAACTGTAGGCCTTTCCAATAGTCAATACATAATTTAGCAACAAATCAACCTTGTTCAATGTTTGAAAATGACATGCTTTTGTTCAAAAATTGATTAAAATTTATAAAGAATATACATGTATAGGTAGAATTTAATGACGATCAATGCTTTTCAATAAAATAATCAACTCCAGTGAATTCATAAACTGTTAAAATGTGATAACATTTTTATTCCTAAAAACCGTATTAAAGCCATATTAAATTCTTATTTAATTAAATATATCTCCTTAAACAATTAATTTTTACTAAAGAGCAACTTCATACAACATTTTTTTCCTGGAAAATATTATTAGTTACTTCCTTAACAATGACATTTCAAACGTCTAATACTCCTTTGAATTGAAGTACTACTGTTTATTTTTACATTTAAAAAAGATACTAAATAGCAATAATCAGCATTTTAACATAGTTAATTTTGAGCATGATATATATATTGTTTAACCCATCTTCCAGCTAAATGTCTCAAAATGGACTTGTAAACCTTACAATCCGGACAAAGCTGAGGGAAAATTACAAAATATTTACTGACAGAATAAGTTGATAGTTATCATGCCTGGACAGGTAGCAGTTATGTTTGAATTAGGAATAGGACCATATATTGTCCCTTCATGATGTTGCAAAAAATGCCCTGTCGAAATTGTTTTGTCAATTAGGTAAATGGCTATAATGAGCCACTATTTAAGCAGAAATAATCACCTGTATCTCTGTCCTCTGTACTGTCTATCTCAACTTTCCTAGAGAGCAGTTCCTGCTTCAGTTTGTCTAGCATGTTAGCTCTCTCCTCTTGTTTCATAAAGGCAACAAGGTCATATGGCCTTTTCATGTTAAACACTGAGTCCATCTACAAGCAGAAAGAATAATTCAATACATATATTGCAGATTATCTACTTGCAATGTAAATAGGAAAAGCATTTTTAGCATTATCATTTTTTCCTATACATGTATATGATTTGTACATGTTACAATTAATTATTGATTGAGTGATGTATTGTATATTAGGAAGATACTTAAAAATTGTTAAAAAAAATCACTTACAAAATGATATGACAATGTTAATATTTCTTATAATATATAAAATTATATTGATATTGGCTTTGGCTATATCCTGGAATAGACACCGTGGTCTAAACTTCTAACATATCTTAATAAAGATAAGCATGTCTCCCTTGCAGAATTATTGGCTCCAAGTTAGGAGCCATTGGCTCCAATTTTTTCTGATTGGCGAATTTGGTGGTGCAAACTAAAATTTACCCAGAGGGAACCATGAGTATATATAAGGTTCATTCCGTTTTCTTCAGTGTATTAATATGCGGAAAGTCCGAACGGGGCCAAAGGCCCTGCGAGGGCTGTACCGCTCTTAGATAACATGTATGACGCGTATCAATTCAAATGAAATCAAATTGAAAGTAAATGAAAATTTCAAAAAAATATATATCCTATACCTAATGAGCTGTAAAAAAATCCTTAGTTATAGGGCGCCGCCATATTGAAATCCTTTTGAGCTAAATATAGATATCAGAGCGCTATTAATGAGCGTCTACAAAATCTAGACCATTGCTAGCAGACACATGCTAAATAACACTTCCGGTGAAAGAATGATGTGCAAGATCAGAAAAAAACATTCATTTTATTGATAAGAACTATAGTAACGATAATAAATATAAAATGTTACTTTAACATATCCTTTTTGATAAATTAGCACATTAAAAGATAACGTTAGAACAACAACTGGATTAGAGATTAACAAAAATGGCGGACAGGATTTTTCCAAACGCCGACGCATGCGCAGTGGTCCCCCTTGATAGGTTGAACACCACCAATTTATTCGTTTTGTTTACGTTAGAAAATACCGTAGAAAATACTACTAATGAAGTGCAAAAAAAATCTGGTTTACATGTACACTAAACATGTTATGCTAAAATCATAATTCATAAGAGCTTTCCGCGCCATAGGTAGCACCTAATTTCATATTATCGGTGTATTATATACAAGTTTTACTTCTAAAATATACATAGGGGTCTAATCCAGGAGATTGCCTTGGCTGTATTGCTAGTTTATTTTTAAATGTAATTTAACTTTTAAATAACAAACTGTCATTGTTGGTCTAATAAATCATGATTAATTCATTGTTAAATTGTAAAATATAAAAAAGATCATACACAACAGAACAACAACTCAATGACCTTTGAACTGACAACTACATGTACTAAAAAGTTTTTGACAGTTGTCAGACAGTCTGCTTTATGTTATTCTATGCTGGGACGGCAAAATCAACTGTCCGTATTGCTTGTCCCACAACCTGTACAGGCAAGTGGAAATTTTCAAGAATTTACTATATACTAATATAGTATGTTTATTACAATGTATGTTATACCGACAAGTTAAGAAATGCTTCAGAGAAATACAGACAAGTTAGTCAAATTCAGATTTTGCCGGCCCTGCTATGATTAACAAAATAAATATAAATATATATTTTAACTTATTTCTCTCATTGTCAGATGTCATTTTACCCTTTAACATTAAACAAGGAAAATAAATAGATACAGTACATGTACAAAATCTAATTTTGTTTTCATGTCTGAAATATCATTTATATTAAATGCAAGGTTAAAATCTTGCAAATTTGCATATATGGCACTGAATCCAGTCAAAAGCAGCAGTTGCTATGGCCAGTAGTTGACTGTTTGCAACAAGCGTTTAATCAATAAATCTACTTGTATCTTCAGAGTACACGCAGGTTATTTTAGAAAATTATGTTTGAATTTTAGAATAAATTTTTCACATATTCACATGTAAGTATGCAAATGACAACTACCTGAGCCTGAACTTTTCCATCTTCTGTAACAACCCAATGCGTCGAGGCTTGCGAAAGCCTTATGTTAGAAAAAAATAAGTTTAAACTAATTAGGACTGCAATTTGAGCAGCCATGTTTACTTTTTCCTCCAGCTCATTTCCGGTTGGCGGTGAAGCGGTAGAAATACAAATTGTAATAATGACTAAATAATTTAGTGGTTTGAAACAATTACTTTATAGTGTGGCTATTTTTAATTGCATTTTATTTTTGTGTCGCCTCTACAGAGTTGTGGCGACATATAGGGATCACTTCTCCGTCGTCTGTCTGTCTGTAAAACTACTGGTGCAATTTCATCCAAACTTTATAGGAATGATCATTACCAAGGCATATCATAGGTCAAAGATTTTTGTCAGAGTTATGGCCCTTTAATACTTTATTTTTTAAAGGTTGTCCGGACTTCTCCTCTTATACCACTAACGCAATTTAAACAGACTTTACAGGATTGTTCTGTAGCTCAAGTACTTGCGCATATTACACAAGTTTTCCGGTTGAATGATTTTTGGCCGAGTTAGCTTACGGCTGTTGAATAAGAAGGTGTTTCACAGGTGACAGTATCAGTGTTTGGACACCCACCCTTATCTGATACAACCCTGAAAAGAAATAATTCAACACTCTAAGGCTTACTATAAGGTACCAAATACAAAACCACCAATAAAAAGAAAAAAAATCCACTATCAAAATTATAATTATAGATATAGATCTATATATAGATCTAGATATGGATCTATAACTATAATTTTGATAGTGGAAACATTCTTTTATAATTTTATCGGTAGTTTTGTATTTGGTACCTTATAGTAGGCCTTAGAGTGTTGATTTTTTTCAGGGTTGTAATAGGGGTCCAGGGGCAGATAGGTGGGGTGTCCAAATTTGTGGTTGCATTTAGGGTGTTGTCAGCTACACAGAAGCTTTTCTGGACCACTCCTCAGAAACTACTGGTGCAATTTCATTTAAACTTTACAGGAACTATCAGTATCAAGCCTAGTTGTGCATTTGAACATCGGCTTTATATGGTTCAATAATTTTTGTCGCTGTTATAACCCTTTAATTATCTTTATCTTTAAAGTTTGTCTGGACTACTCCACTAAAACAACTAATTCAATTTCAATGAAACTTTACAGCATTGATCGGTAGGTCAAGTACTTACGCATATTACACAGGTTTTCCGATCGGATGATTTTTGGCCGAGTTATGGCCCTTGAATAAAAAAGTGTTGTTTTGTTGTTGTTGTTGTCAGCTACACCGAAATGTGTCTGGACTACTAGTGCAATTTCATCAAAATGTTACAGGAATGATCAATACCATGTTAAGTTATGCATATCATCGAAATTTTATGGTTCAGTCCATTTTTTGTCGGAGTTATGGCCCTTTATTTTTTTAACAAATTTGTCCGGACTACGCATCTTATACAAGTAATCCAATTTCATTGAATCTTTACAGGATTGATTGGTATGTCAAGTACTCGCGCATATTACATGGGTTTTCCCGTTAAATGATTGTTTGGCCAAGTTATGACCCTAGAATAAAAGAAAAATAGTGTTTGTCACATGAGGCGTCATCGCCACCTCTTCTAGAATGTATACACGTGCTGTTAAAGAATTTATTTTATTATATGATCTAAATATAGCTTCAATCTCATTGGTCCAAACAGTAGTCAACAGAACTTTTTATAAAATCATATTTACTGGGTGTAGTATCATATTCACTGGCTGAATTGGATTTTCCCAGTCTAAAAATAGATTGAGACTCATATTCAATGATCATACACCGTAGACTGTTAAATACGCGTGTTACTTAAAAAATAATTGTTGCTTTTTGTTCTTTATGGCATGTTTCTCGATTAAAATATCAATACATTACCATTTTACTCAAAGGCTACACCGCAATGATGAGTATAAACTTGAATTACTTTTGTATGCGCAGCGTTCGCGAAGTCGTTGCACGCCTAACACGTGCGTCTTTTTTCCCGCGCTTCAATGAGGCAAAATTTGTACATGTATATAAGGTTGTACTTTTCGTGATTTTTTTATTTCTTAGCCTATTCATATAATAAAACAATTATTGACTAGTGAGCCATTGAATATGATGTGATATTCACCGGCAGAAAGTCATATTGACCTCGGCTATCGCCTCGGTCAATATGTCATCTGCCGGTGAATATCACATCATATTCAATGGCTCACTAGTCAATAATTGTATAATAAAAACAAGACCGTAAATAGTCCCCCCCTTTTCACCACAGATTCTACTACTCATAGAATAACAACTAACACCAGTTCCTGTGTGTTGGTCATCTAAAAAGATATTTATAAATTAAACATAAAGTTGTAAAAACAGTTGTAAAAAGTAAAGAAATATGCTTGCTAAATTTTTGCTATAACAGTTTAAATTTGATTTTTTTCTACAGTTTCAAATTGGCATTAAAATATCAATCATATATATACATTTTTTTATATCTTTGAGAGACATGCACACAAGTTTGTTTGTAACTATGTCTCGGGAATCGGACCATAGATCTCGAACTCTCATTCATCAACAACAACAACAACAACAACAAAAATAAAATAAAATAAAAACAATCTCATATAATACAAGACTGATTGGCCAATCACGCACGGTTGTTCATACTCAGGTGTCCTGCTGGGCTCCTTTCTGGTGGAGCTGTGTTGCTGAATCGTGAGGAGATTGTGTTCATTGAACGACACCCTTCCAATTGATGATCTTGTTTTTCATATTTCAGATCACGGGCCCTACTTGCCTAAAAGAAATTTCACCTCCATTGTTCTGCGGTAAGATCTATGAATTCAAAATACTCATGTGAAACAACATTTTTATCAAGGTTTACACAAATATCATTTATGTCAATGCAGTAAGAAAAAGTAACTTGGATTTGTTTGGATACCTGGAAATAAGAATTTCGTGTTGGTCCTCTTGCAGGCTTGGGCTAGTGGGGCAAAGATGATTCTGCACACTTGAAGCATATCAGGTGTAGAAACATGATACTCGAGCTGCACTTTCCAAGGGAAGGGGGGGGGGCTTGATATTTAAGAAACGAAAAGTTTGAATGGTTAGCATTTTACGATGTTGTAAGCGTGATTATTCTAAGAAGAGGCAAGTAAAATTGAAGATATAATTGATTGATTCTAGAATGGTATTTTGAAGAAACTACTGTGTCGGTGTTTACATCAGAATGACATTTTTATGCACACAAAAATGTGTTAACAGTGAAATATGTTAATCTTAAAGATTCAGGTATTTTATAAACAAACTAATTTAAAAAAGCAACAACAACTGACAATCATTTTTTGTCATATCGCAAATGAAAGCAGATAAATAGCAGACAAATGACTCTGTTTGTATTTTCCTGTATATGTTTATTTTGATATACTATAATTCATCCTGCAGGGCACCGAGTTGCAGCGACTGCGTTTAGATCTTTTGCTATAACAGTTTGAGTTTGATACATACGGAATTTTGCACGACCAGAGTTTCTAACTTGCATTATAAAATCAATTATGTACATTTTAATGACAGCCACACTTTATCCTTGCATATCGTGGCTAATTCCTTAGGAAAGAATGTTAAAATCGCATAAAAACTAAAAAACCAATATTTATTGCCTTGACTGGGATTGGAACCTCGACCTCTCATTTCCTAAACGAGCGTGTTGCCATATAAGCCAAAACTTCTTTTAAACTTTGAATTCATATAATTTGCTGGATACTTGAAACAGAATAAACATATTTCTTTCTTTTACAGCGCTAGTTTTAAGCTGTTTTGAGAACTACTTCTTGTTGTTATGGTTGTCGGGAAGCGCTGCTCCTGAGATTGAATGTCAGCATTGTATTAAAAAAATACAAAAAATGACCTAAAAGATGGCCGCAAACTCGGTGTGCACAAAGCTTGTACTAACATGCAAAGGCAATGTTGTACCTAAAATGCTATAATAAGTACGCGAATATTTTTGTTTGCCCTATTTTTAAACTATTTTTTAAATTCTGAGCAACCTACTGTATTGTTTAAATCCCAGTTCAAATAGCAGACCAGTTGCTGTATAAGCTGCATTTCTACGGTATAAGGGGTCAGACTCTTAAATGGATCAAAGGTTTTCTTGATAACAGGTCACAGTCCGTGGTGGTAAATGGCTCCACATCCAGCTCCATACCAGTCTCCTCCGGTGTTCCCCAGGGCTCGGTCCTCGGACCTCTCTTATTTCTTATATACATAAATGACCTTCCTGAATATGTCCAATCCTCTAAGGTCCGCCTATTTGCTGATGACACAGCCATCTATCTATCTCTGACTGTCGCTTCTCATTCTAGCTTACTTCAACATGACTTACACCAACTTGAACAATGGGAAATAAAATGGGACATGCAATTTAATCCATCAAAATGCCAGGTTATCCAAATCACAAAACGAAAAACAGTCATTCCAACAAAATACCTCCTACATAACACCACATTAGAAACAGTTCCATCTGCTAAATACCTTGGCATTACAATATCAAATGATTTAACATGGAACAAACACATAAACAACATCACAACAAAGGCGAATCAAACACTTGGTTTTCTACGCCGAAACATCAAGGTTCACTCAGAAAGGTTAAAGTCAACAGCATACAAGACACTTGTCAGACCCCAGCTTGAGTACAGCTCCACGGTCTGGTCCCCCTACACAGGAACTCTCATTGACCAGATAGAGTCAGTCCAGAGAAGGGCTGCTAGGTGGGTCAAACATGACTTTGGCCGTATGTCAAGTGTCACTGACATGTTGACTTCCCTTCAATGGAGGCGCCTTGACCTTCGGCGTATTGACCAACGCCTGGTCATGTTTCACAACATCCTGCATGACCAGGTGGCTATTCCTTTCCCAAAGTATATCGTCCCTCTTACAAGATCATCTAGAACATCCCATCTCCATGCATTCCAACAAGTCCAAACTAAAACTGATTACTATAAATATTCATTTTTCCCAAGAACAATTGTCCACTGGAATGCTTTACCACCTGAAATCATAAACTTGTCTGGCCCCGAGTTCAGTCTGGCTGTAAGCCGGATTGAACATACGTCTCCTTAAAAATACCTTTTCTGTTTTTAACCTGTTTTTAACA